GGCAGGAATGGGACGATGTGATGCAGAGTGGAGTGACACTAATCCATAAAGTCTAAGAGAACTAAATCAATTACATATTTGTACAGCTGTGGTTTCCCCCCCCAATATAAATATATTGGTAATTCAGTCCTATTTGAACTAAACATTTTTACAGCAACAATTTTATATACGTATGTATGTATGTACAGTACGTATTTGAGACAAATTCCTGCTCTGTTGCCCAGGCTGGAGTGCAGTAGTGCAATCTCAGCTCACTGCAACCTCTGCCTCCTGGATTTAAGCAATTCTCCTGCCTCAGCCTCCAAAGTAGCTGAGATTATAGGCATGTGCCACCACGCCAGGCTACTTTTTGTATTTTTAGTAGAGACAAGTTTTCACCATGTTGGTCAGGCGGTTCTCTAACTCTTGACCTCAAGTGAGGTCTCCCAAAGTGCTGGAATAACAGGTGTGAGCCACCACACCAGGCCAAACAACTATTTAAAAACATCTATTTTCTAGAAGTATTACATCTGAGATGCTTAATTCTACAGCAAAAATTATTGGCTTTTGTGAAAATGTTGAATTATCCTTACATGTTGGCTTATTTGGCTTTTATGAAAATGTCAAATTATCCTAACAGCCTGGTTTCCCAAATTACTCTGTAGTCAGCTATACAGTCAACTCTCGATTACTTACATGTTATTTACTTTCAGTCACAATTTAAAAATCCTAATAGAACTTCCTTCTTCAATCACTTATGCTTTAGATGTTGCTGACAGCATAAATCAGCTCAGGCAAATATCAAGTTTATGATGAGTTTAAAACAATTAAAAATCAGGAATCCATTATGAATAATATAGCAGATATCCCTTATTTCCATATAATTAATACATTACTGATCTTTGCCAATAAAATACAGTATATCATTACAGGATTTAGACTTCTAAAAGACCCCAATAGTTTTTGTTTTTGTTTTGTTTTGATTTTTTTTTTTTTTAAGATGGGGTTTCACCATGATGGCCAGGCTGGTCTTGAACTGCTGATCTCAGGTGATTCACTCACCTAGGCCTCCCAAAGTGCTGGGATTACAGGCGTGAACCACTGCACCCGGCCAAGACCCCAATAGTTTTTATGACACAAATGAAAAGGTTTGTTTAATGTTCTTAAAACATTAAAAAAATGTTCTTTTAGTAAGTTAAAGAAGTGTTCTTAAACTATTTATATGGAATCCTGAATAGCAGTTTTGGAAGGTAAATAATTCCTGTGTCAGTTAGAGGATAAAGTAAAAAAAAGAAAATATAAAATACAGGATTAGGCCGGGTATGGTAGCTCACGCCTGTAATCCCAGCACTTTGGGAGGCTGAGGCTGGAGGATCACTTGAGCCCAGGAGTTCAAGACCAGCCTGGGCAACATGGTGAAACCTCATCTCTACATAAAATAAGAAATTAACTGGGTGTGGAAGCATGTGCCCGTAGTCCCAGCTACTAGGGCGGCTGAAGTTGGAGGATCACCTGAGCCCAGGAAGCCGAGGCTGCAGTGAGCCAGGATGGCACCACTGCACTCCAGCCTAGGCATCACAGTGAGATTCTGTCTCAAATAATGATAATAATAAAGTTAAATACAGGATGAGACATGAAGGGAACCTGATGGTGATTTTTAAGTGCCTATGTTCAGAACACAGCAATGGTATGGGACAAACTTTTCTAATTTAATATCTAAACATCCAGTGATTCTAAACAAATGTTTTTTAAAAATAATCATATTAACTTTTTGAACTAATCATTATTTTGGTTTGATGGATATAAAAAAGCTACATTAATCAAAGCACATAAATAAGAAATTCATAGAAAACAGAACAAGTATTAATACTTGCTTTAATTTCATTCAGAGAATAGAAACAACTAAATGTAAATACTAAGGAAAACTATAAAACACTACTCCATGGGTGCTACAAACTATTTAAATGTTAATAATTTGTCGTGCTAGATCAAAACAGTCTAATCTTTTTCCAAAAGAGTGTCCTTTGTTTTTTTTTTCATTTTCATGAAAAAATTAGGGGGAATGAGGCTGCAGGATGGGTTATGATGACTGAGGCTAAAGGCTGATGATGATTAAACTGGTAAAAAAAAATTCTGCTCTGGTGGAAAATACTTATAGATTATAGAAATTCCGGGCCGGGCGAGGTGGCTCAAGCCTGTAATCCCAGCACTTTGGGAGGCCGAGGTGGGTGGATCACGAGGTCAAGAGATCGAGACCATCCTGGTCAACATGTTGAAACCCCATCTTTACTAAAAATACAAAAAATTAGCTGGGCATGGTGGCGCGTGCCTGTAATCCCAGCTACTCAGGAGGCTGAGGCAGGAGAATTGCCTGAACCCAGGAGGTAGAGGTTGTGGTGAGCTGAGCTTGCGCCATTGCACTCCAGCCTGGGAAACAAGAGCGAAACTCTGTCTCAAAAAAAAAAAGAAAGAAATTCCTGTTTATTTATTTATTTGAGAAGGAGTTTTGCTCTTTTTCTCCAAGCTGGAGTGCAATGGGGTGATCTCAGCTTGCTGCAACCTCTGCCTTCTGGGTACAACTTATTCTCCTGCCTCAGCCTCTCAAGTAGCTGGGATTTCAGGCGAGTGCTACCATGCCTAGCTAATTTTTTATATTTTTAGTAGAGACAGGGTTTCACCATGTTAGCCAGGCTGGTCTTGAACTCCTGACCTCAGGTTCATCCACCCACCTCGGCCTCCCAAAGTTCTGGGGTTACAGGCTTGAGCCACCAAGCCTGGCCTTATTTTTTTATTTTTTATTTTTATTTTTTGAGATGGCATCTCACTCTGCTCCCCAGGCTGGAGTGTAATGGCTTGATCTCGGCTCACTGCAACCTCCATCTCCTGGGTTCAAGCAATTCTCCTGCCTCAGCCTCCCCAGTAGCTGGGATTACAGGAACCCACCACCACGACGGGCTAATTTTTTTGTATTTTTTAGTAGAGACAGAGTTTCACCATGTTGGCCAGGCTGGTCTCAAACTCCTGATCTTAGGTAAACCACCTGCCTCGGCTTCCCAAAGTGCTGGATTACAGATATGAGCCATCACACTTGGCCAGAAATTCCATTTTATATAGAATCACAGAAATTCTCAAAATTTTAAATAAAAATGTCAGTGTGTATAGTCACATACCCCAAATTTGTATTTCTCCAATATAACAGTTATTTAACAGTTTAATATATAATTTCTATGCACAATCTTGACAGTAATCTAAAGAGGCAGGAAAATGAAACTTAAAAGAAACCTACCATGTTTATGGATAAAAGCCAGCCCTTGCAATATCTGATACATAATATTTCTGATGACTGACTCAGGGAACAACTTGCTTCTGTAAAGAAATGAACAAACAGTCACAGAATTCTGTTAAACAACCAGCCAACCAATCCAAAGAAGGTTTATATTACCCCTGCCTTGGAGCCTCTGTTGGCCTCATGATACTGGTTAAAGGTATGATTTATGGATTTACAGTGTGAAAGCTCATACATTTAAAACATGAAAATCAGATTTTTTTTTGTTTTGATGTATGGTTAAAAACTCAAATCCCAAACTGAATGTATTGCACACATATTAAATAGCTAAATTTTAAACTGTCCCAAGAAGAGTAAAGTTGAAAAACAGAATTACTAACAGATAAGCCAAGCTTGCAAATCTGTATTATGTAGACTTTAAGAATTTTAGAGGTGGCCGGGTGCAGTGGCTCATGCCTATAATCCTAGCATTTTGGGAGGCCAAGGTAGGAGGATCACTTAAGCCCAAGAGTTTGAGACCAGCCTGGGCAACATGGTGAACCCTTGTCTCTACAGAAAAATACAAAAATTAGCCAGGTGTAGTGGTGCATGCCTATAGTACAGCTGCTGGAGAGGATGAGATGGGAGGATCACTTGAGCCTGGGAGTTCGAGGCTGCAAGGAGCCATGATTGTGCCACTGCACCCCAGTGAGTGAGATCCTGTCTCAATAAATAAATAAATTTAGAGGTATAAATAAATGCTTCAGTTCTATTCTGCATATTGGTGTTGTCCAGAGAAATATAAGAGCCGGCTGGACACAGTGACTCATGCTTGTAATCCTAGCACTTCCGGAGGCCAAATGGGTGGATCATCTGAGTTCAGGAGTTCAAGAGCAGCCCAGCCAACATGGTGAAACCCCGTCTCTACTAAAAATATAAAAATTAGCTGGGTGTGATGGCATGTGCTACTCAGGAGCCTGAGGCAGGAGAATCACTTGAACCCAGGAGGTGGAGGCTGCAGTGAGCCAAGATTGCACCACTTCATTCCAGCCTGGGCAAAAAAGCGAGACTCTATCTAAAAAAAAAAAAAAAAGAAAAAGAAAAAAGAAATACAGGAGAGCCACTTGTGTACTTAACATTTTTCTAGCAGCCATGTTAAAAGAAATCAAACAGGTAAAATTAATTTTTAACAATATATTTAATTTAACCTAATATATGCCAAATACTATTCCAACATGTAATCAATATAAAAATTAGCTAACTGCACCACTGCACTCCAGCTTGGGTGACAGAGCAAGACTATGCCTGTAAAACAATTTTTATTATAAAAATTATTCTTGCCGCGCGGTCGTCCAAGCGCGACTCGGCGGCGCGGTGGAGACTCCGCACGGCTGCGATGGAGACTCCGCACGGCTGCGGCCAGGCGCAGGCGGGCGGGCGGGCGGAGGCAGCCTCAAGCGCCGGGCTCACAGAGAGCACCGGAGTGGTCGGGGCCAGCGGCTGCTTGCGCCTCTCGATGGGCAGCTCGCACTTGCTCAACAAGGGCCTGCCGCTGGTAAGACTTTGACCCCGACACAGGCTTCAGTGATTGCGGTGGATCAGAAGCCTGAGCGCTTTGGCTCAAGACAATTAAGGACGTGGGATGAGGCTCCGAGACAGGACGCGGTTCTGCCTGGGGATCCTGAAGATAAAAAGCTTTGAAAAGTCGAATTCATGGTCGTGGAAGCTGAGCCTGTATTAAGAGATGTTAGGCGTCCGATCTCCAATCATGAACGGGCCCCTGCACCCGCGGCCCCTGGTGTCATGGCTGGATGGCCGGATGGCCGGGACTGCACGGTGGAGATGCCTATCCTGAAGGATGTGGCCACCGTGGCCTTCTGCGACACGCCGTCCATGCAGGAGATCCACGAGAAGGTCCTGAATGAGGCCATGGGGGCCCTGATGTACCACACCATCACACTCACCAGGGAGGACCTGGAGAAGTTCAAAGCCCTGGGCATCATCGTCCAGATTGGCAGTGGTTTTGACAACATCGACGTTAAGTTGGCCCGGGATTTAGGCATCGCCGTCTGCAACGTGCCTGCAGCGTCTGTGGAGGAGACAGCCGACTTGACGCTGTGCCACATTCTGAACCTGTACCGGCGGGCCACCTGGCTACACCAGGTGTTGCGGGAGGGTACGCGAGTCCAGAGCGTCGAGCAGATCCGAGAGGTGGCATCCGGCGCCGCCAGGATCCGTGGGGAGACCTTGGGCATCATCGGACTCGGTCGTGTAGGGCAGGCAGTGGCACTGCGAGCCAAGGCCTTCGGCTTCAACGTGCTCTTCTATGACCCCTACCTGTCAGACGGCGTGGAGCAGGCACTGGGGCTGCAGCGCGTGAGCACTCTGCAGGACCTGTTGTTCCACAGCGACTGCGTGACACTGCACTGCCGCCTCAACGAGCACAACCACCAACCACCTCATCAATGACTTCACCGTCAAGCAGATGAGACAAGGGGACTTCCTGGTGAACACGCCCGGGGTGGCCTAGTGGACGAGAAGGCGCTGACCCAGGCCTTGAAGGAGGGCCGGATCCGCGGCGCGGTCCTAAACGTGCATTAATCGGAACCCTTCAACTTTAGCGAGGGCCCCCTGAAGAACGCACCCAACCTCATCTGCAACCCCCACGCTGCATGGTACAGCGAGCAGGCATCCCTCCAGATGCGAGAGGAGGCAGCACGGGAGATCCGCAGAGCCATCACAGGCCGGATCCCAAACAGCCTGAAGAACTGTGTCAACAAGGACCATCTGACAGCCGCCACCCACTGGGCCAGCATGGACCCCGGGGTCGTGCACCCCGAGCTCAATGGGGCCACCTACAGGTACCCTCCCGGCGTGGTGGGTGTGGCCCCCACTGGCATCCCAGCTGCTGTGGAAGGCATCGTGCCCAGCACCATGTCCCTGTCCCACGGTCTACCCCCTGTGGCCCACCCGCTCCACACCCCTTCTCCTGGCCAAACTGTCAAGCCCGAGGCGGATAGAGACCACGGGAGTGACCAGTTGTAGCCCGGAAGGAGCTCTCCAGCCTCGGTGCCTGGGCAGAGGGCCAGAAGCCCCTCAGACCAGAGTGTGCAGAGAAGGTGCCTACGTGGCAGCCCTGGCGCTGCAGAGACTGTCGGGCAGTGCAGGAGGCGGGTGGGCAGCGCCGGCCCGTGTCGGTTGTCATCGTCCGTCCTGTGGGCTCTCTGTCCTGTGTCCTTCACGTTCCTCGTTAAGCAGAAGTAGTCAGTAGTTATTCTCCCAGGAACGTTCTTGTCTGTGTACAGTTTTTAGAACATTACAAAGGATCTGTTTGCTTAGCTGGCAACAAAAGGAAAACCTGGGGGAGCATTCGGGAAGTCAATTTGAGGTCATTTTTTTCCTTTTATATGTAGGAACGTGCCCTGGATGAGGCAGTCGGCAAAATTCTCAGGACAATGAATCCTTCCCGTTTTTTTTTTATGCCACACAGTGCATTTTACCTGCTTGTCTTATTTTTAGAATAATTTAGAAAAACAAAACAAAGGCTGTTTTTCCTAATTTTGGCGTGAACCCCCCCCCTTGTTCCAAATGAAGATGGCATCACGAAGCAGCTCCAGGAGGAGAAGCTTGGGCGGTGCCTGGCATGCCCGCTGCCCGTCGACGTCTGTTCTGGGGACGCAGAGGGTGGCAGTGTCCCGCCTGCACCGGTGCCATCCTGCTGATGTGGTAGGCTAGCAATATTTTGGTTAAAATCATGTTTGTGACTGTAACTATTTGTATGAATTATTTTAAAGAAATAAAAATCCCAGAAAGAGCCAGCGAAAAAAAAAAAATTATTCTTTTTTTTTTTTTGAGACAGAGTCTCGTTCTGTCGCCAGGCGCCAGGCTGGAGTGCAGTGGCGCGAACTCCACTCACTGCAACCTCTGCTTCCCGGGTTAAAGCAATTCTCCTGCCTCAGCCTCCCAAGCAGCTGGGACTACAGATGCGCACCACCACGCCCAGCTAAAAAAATGAGAACACATGGACACAGAAAGGGGAGTACTAAACATTGGGGTCTATTGGGGGGAAAAGGGGAGGGCCAGTGGGAGGGGGAGGTGGGGAGGGATAGCCTGGGGAGAAATGCCAAATGTGGGTGAAGGGGAGAAGAAAAGCAAAGCACACTGCCATGTGTGTACCTACGCAACTGTCTTGCATGCTCTGCTCATGTACCCCAAAACCTAAAATCCAATAAAAAATTAAAAAAAAAAATTATTCATTTTTAAAATTTTACCTTTAAAATTTTTTAGAGGCACAGTCTAAATATATATTATATGCTATAATTACCAACCTATTTTACCACTGATGTTATTTATTTTAAATAGTTCAAAACTACTGAACATTTCTCACTTTAAAAGCAGGCAAAATGGCTGTTTATCCCCCAGATGTGACCAGAACAACCACCAAAAACATTATCTCCCCAAGCTCAGGGCAGAAGACCCTTTACAGATTCTGCCCACACATTTAAAAATTGTGAATTTCCTTGGAATTGGTAACACATCAAGTATTATCACTGACTTGTGCCTTCCAATGAATGAGTTTCTTAAATCTTTTCTTGAAAGGAACTTTATTCGTTTCTCTATTCTTTCATTAACCTCCACAAGATGCTTGGAAGAGCAATGAAAATAATTTTCTCAGTAGTGCCCAAGGCCAGTTTTGTTACTGAGTACTAGACTATACATAAGTTTGTATTTTAAAAAGCATAAATAGATAGTATGTGTATTTATATGAGATACCGGCCTTGACTTTTAAGGATTTACAACAGAAAAATGTTGGCTATGTCACAGCTGGTTCTTCTTCAGTGTTAAATGTTACCCTTTGATAAAGATAACAGATCTAGTTAATTTAAATTTACCTTTTGGAGTAATCAATTCTTATATCTTAAAGTATTGACATACTTAAAGGATCCAAAGAACTCATGGAGGGAATAACAGGGAAGAAAGTGAATAAAAACATACCTGTCTTTCATTAATTGATAGAGGTTTTCTTTCATATATTCAAATATGAAATAAAGGTGGTCATTTTCTCTGATAACTTCTTTCAATTTAATAACATTAGGATGATTAAGTTTCTTCAGAGACTGAAAAATAACAAATATGCATTGAAGTTTCTTAAAAAAAATTATATCCAAGTCTTTAAGCATCAAATCTAAGGAAATGGTATGTAGTAATTTAAAAACTTGTCTTTTGGTGGCTTGGGTGTGGTGGCTCATGCCTGTTATCCCAGCATTTTGGGAGGCTGAGGTGGGCAGATCACTTGAGGTTAAGAGTTTGAGACCAGCCTGGCTAACATGGTAAAACCTTGTTTCTACTAAAAGTACAAAAATTAGCTGGGCACGGCAGCACACGCCTATAGTCCCAGCTACTCAGGAGGCTGAGGTAGGAGAATCGCTTGAATCCAGGAGGCAGAGGTTGCAGGGAGCTGAAATCATGCCACTACACTCTATCCTGGGTGACAGAGTAAGACTGTCTCAAAAAAAAAAAAAGTTGTCTTTGGAGAATATGATTTAAGATGCTCTTTTAAAAGTGAGAGTGAACTTTCAAATGTGAGAATATAATTATATGCTATTCTACACTGACATCAGAACCAGAAGAAATGAGAATTTAATTTAGAATATAAAGGAAAAACAAATACAATTATCTTCAGAATGCTTCCCACAGAGAATAAAACAATCTTAACTAAAAATAATCTTAACTACTGTCCTCAGGCCTCAGATAGAGTTAAAGCTTCTTCTCAGGTTCTTTTCATCTTTAGGATTTTACCTTAACTTCTCTCAAATTCATACATTCATCCCAAGAACAGAACTTTCTCTTCATCCTAAAATAAATAGAGGAAAGTTTGGTGTTCAGGGATTGAGGATTCAAAGACACAGATTACACTGTTGGCTTTCTTACTCTAGTATTGGCTCACTTTGGGCGAGCTAGCTCCTCATCCTTACAGGGAAATCACTTCCTCCTTTACATCTCAAGGCTAGCTGGTAGGACTATATCACATCCAAAATTCAGCTTTAACACAAAAATGACAAAATCACCATTCATCTTCCTTTCTGGGTGAGTTCTTAACACTTCTCTAATAAGTTTAACTGTGCCTTTCTTAAAGGGTCCCTTCCAAGTTCCTCTCATTTTAGAACTTAAGAGATAAACATGAAACACTATACCTCAGAGGGGGTTAGGGAAAGAAATCACAAATTTTGAGCAAATTTAGTCAAATAATTTGATCTGATAACTTGCATATCATTACATCAGCTTTAGATGAGAGGCCCATAAAGTTAAAGATCTCCCTACTTAAATGATTTAAGTTGGCAAAAAATTGGAAGTAACTATAAACGTTAGAAATGGCTTTCTTGAATTTTGTTCTTTACTTCCCCTCTTTTATCCCAGTGTTGGTTTCTATTAGAGATAAATGTATCAAAAGTGTATTTAGGGTAAAAATTATTTCCACTATATACACTACAAGTTACTTGGCGTGTTTTTATATGAACACGTGTTTTTATGCAAACAGATTTTTAGTCACCATACAAAACAGGATAAGAAGCAGGATTTGTATTCTAAAAAATGTTTGTTCAGGTATGGAAATTATAAGGCTGGACTGTGAAAGAGAACCAAATATGCCATACTGCTTTCATTTAGTATTATAATCTCCTGCTGAGATGTTCCAGAAGATCCTTGGGAAGCTTAGAGTTGTCTTTATTAATTAGAATAATCCTTATGATCCAGAGGCTCCAGGGGGTATAATACAGAAATGAGGCAATGAGTGAAAATTGGCAGCACAACATCACAGTCAGGAACAGAGGCTGTGGATCCGCACTGCCTGCATTCAAATCCTTGCCTGCCACTCACAGCATGACTTTGGACAAGTTACCTAATGATTTGTCTATCCCTCAAATTTGTTAGCTACACATACAGTAGAAGCTGCTGCATAACAAAAGCTTCTTGCAAACTGCTTCATTCAACACTCACTAACTACCAGATGTTTTCATTTTTACCAATATCTATGACTGTAAGACAATGTAAAGGGCATCACTGCTATTATTTCCAAAATATCCTTAGTGAATCAGAATTTCATTTGCAGTGATTCAAGTACTAGAAATTTATAAAGAGTTGCGATAAAATGGGGATCACTAGCCTATTAAAAGATACTTTTCAGTGCTATAGATTTATAAAATGTCTTGCTAAAATGTAAAATGTAAATCTAGCAAAATGATGAATTTAAAATAAAACAAGTCAATTCAAATATAGCTATAAAAAAGTTGATTAATAAAATGATCATGTCGATGTGAAATTGCACATATAATCTGCTATGATTTTTTCTTTCTTTTTTTTTTTGAGACATGGTCTCATTCTTTTTTTTTTTTTTTGAGATGGCGTTTCACTCTTGTTACCCAGACTGGAGTGCAATGGCACCATCTCGGCTCACCGCAACCTCCACCTCCTGGGTTCAGGCAATTCTCCTGCCTCAGCCTCCTGAGTAGCTGGGATTGCAGGCATGCGCCACCATGCCCAGCTAATTTTTTGTATTTTTAGTAGAGATGGGGTTCACCATGTTGACCAGGGTGGTCTCGATCTCTTGGCCTCGTGATCCGCCCGCCTCCGCCTCCCAAAGTGCTGGGATTACAGGCTTGAGCCACCGCACCCGGCCTGACATGATCTCATTCTGTCGCTCAGACTGGAGTGCAATGGTGTGATTATGGCTCACTGTAGTCTTGACCTCTTGGGCTCAAGTGATCCGCCCACCTCTGGCTCCTGGGTAGCTGGGACTATAGGTATATGCCTCCACGCCCAGCATATTTTTGTATTTTTTATAGAGATAGGGTTTTACCATATTGATCATACTAGTCTCAAACTCCTTGGCTCAAACAATCTGCCCACCTCAGCCTTCCAAAGTGCTGGGATTATAGGCATGAGCCACCACACCTAGCCTGCTATGATGCTTTAAATATAATTTCAGAACTTTATTTTATTTTTGAGATGGTGTCTCTCTCTGTCACCCAGGTTGGAGTGCAATGGCATGATCTCAGCTCTGCAACCTTTGCTTCCCCAGTTCAAGTGATTCTCTTGCCTCAGCCTCCCAAATAGCTGGGATTACAGGCACCTGCCACCATGCCTGGCTAACTTTTGTGTTATTAGTAAAGATGGGGTTTCGCCATTTTGGCCAGGCTGGTCTCGGACTCCTGACCTCAGGTGATCTGCCTGCACCGCCTTCCAAAGTGCTCAAATTACAGGCATCAGCCACCATACCCAACCTAGAATTTATTTTTCATTTTAGGGGAAATGTATCAATGGATCTTAAAGTGTTACCTAACAAGTTGCACCTAGAATATTTAT